CTCACCTCAGCCTCCCAAAGCGCGGGATTACAGGCTGAGCCACCGAGCCCGGCTAAAATTATACATCTTATGTTAGGTATACAAATGTTCATTATGAGGCTGAGTGCGGTGGCTCAAGCCTGTAATCCCAGCACTTTGGGAAGTCAAGGCAAGAGGATTGCCTGAGGCCAGGAGTTTGAGACCAGTCTGGGCAACTTGGTGAGATGTCTCTACAATAAAGCAAAAAATTAGCAGGTCGTGGTGGCTCATGCTTGTAGTTCTAACTACGTGGAAGGCTGAGGTGGGAGGATCACCTGAGCCCAGCAAGTGGGCCATAAACGTGCCACTGCTCTCCAGCCAGGGTGACAGAGTGAGACTCCAACTCAAAGAAAGGAAGGAAGGAAGGAAGGGAGGAAGGAAGGAAGAAAATAAAAAAGAAAAGTCATTGAATTAGGCTGGGCATGGTGGCTCATGCCTGTAATCCCAGCACTTTGGGAGGCCAAGGCAGGAGTATTGCTTGAGCCCAGGAGTGTGAGACCAACCTGGGCAACAGAGCTACTTCATCTCTACAAACAAAACAGTACAAACAAAAATGTCTACTCCTGGCTGGGTGTGGTAACTCAAGCTTATAATCCTAGCACTTTGGGAAGCTGAGGCAAGAGACTTGCCTGAGCTCGCGGGTTCGAGACCAGCCTGGGCAACATGGTGAGACCGCGTCTCTACAATAAATCAAAAAGCCGGGCTCGGTGGCTCAGCCTGTAATCCCGCGCCTTTGGGAGGCTGAGGTGAGTGGATTGCCTGAGTCTGCGGGTTCGAGACCCGCCTGGGTAGCGAGACCTCATCTCTACAATAAATTAAAAAATCAGCCGGGCGTGGTAGCGCATGCCTGTAATTCCGGCTACTCGGAAGGCTGAGGCGGAAGGATCGCCAGAGCCCAGCAGGTCGAGGCTGCGGTGGCCGGGAGCGGCCACTGCACTCCAGTCTGGGTGACAGAGTGAGACTCCAACTCAAAAAAAAAAAAATAAAAATAAAAAAATTAGCCGGGCATGGTAGCGCGTGACAGTAGTTCTAGCTATTTGGAAGGCTGAGGAAGAAGGACTGCGTGAGTCGAGCAGGTCAAGGCTACGGCGGCCGGGAGTGTGCCACTGCACTCCAGCCTGAGTGACAGAGTGAGACTCCAACTCAAAAAATATAAGTAAATAAATATGTCTATCCCTAGTCAATTTATGCATCTCCTTAGACTATACTTAATTTCCATGTAAAGACAATAATATGCTCATTATTCTGCCTAACATGACATAATGATTTTGTGGATGACCAAAACACTAACTCCTTCCCCAGAAGAGGAGGTAAAGAAGAAATAAAGTCCTTGATGTAAAATCAATAATACTGCCCGGGGTCAGTTGGCTCAGCCTGTTATCCCATGCTTTGGGAGGCCGAGGTGAGTGAATTGCTTGAGCCCATGGGTTCGAGACCTGCCTGGGCAAATTGGAGAGACCTTATCTCTACGATAAATCAAAAATTAGCTGGGTGTGGTAGTGCGCGCCTGTAGTTCCAGCTACTTGGAAGGCTGAGGTGGAAGGATCACTGGAGCCCAGCAGGTTCAGGCAGCAGTGACCGGCAGCGGCCACTGCACTCTAGCCTGGGTGACAGAATGGGACTCCAACTCAAAAAAAAAAAAAAAAAAATTAATATTTAAATACTATAATATAAAACTATATATCTTATATTACATGATATAGGAATAAAAAGGGATGAAAACAAAGATTTTCCTTCATATATATACCCACAAATATATTTATAACAAAACAAGGAGGAAATATGCATGATAATTACAGTCTTAGGTTCTGTAATAGGTCACTTGGTAACATAGCTGGTATTTATTTATTTATTTATTTTTGAGTTGGAGTCTCACTCTGTCACCCAGACTAGAGTGCAATGGCCGCTCCCGGCCACAGCAGCCTTGACCTGCTGGGCTCCGGCGATCCTTCCGCCTCAGCCTTCTAAGTAGCTGCAATTACAGGCGCGCACTACCACGCCCGGCTGATTTTTTGACTTATTGTAGAGATGAAGTCTCACCAAATTGCCCAGGCGGGTCTTGAACCCGCGGGCTCAGGCAATCCACTCACCTCAGCTTCCCAAGGCGCAGGATTACAGCCTGAGCCACCGAGCCTGGCTACATAGCTGGTCTTTATAACTGCCTTCTTCCACTACCAATCCTGTGTTCTCTTTGCCTTCAGCAAGTAACTTACATCCTTACCTGTTTTTTTTTTTAACCTGGTGAGGTAACCCAAAACCTCGTTCCTGAAGGGTCTGAGCCATTAGTAGTCCTGCTGGATAAGGCTGTTGTAGTTTTCCATTAACCTTAATCTCAGGGCACGTAATACTAAAAGACACCCTAAGGGATCTCCTATATTCCAGACATACTTTTACTTACTTCCATTGTGGAGTAGTATTCCAATTTTTTCTTGGTAGTCAAGATCAGTCACTCCAAACAGCACAGTAACTCCCTTCTTTGCCTGCTGACTCACAGCTATGAGGAGCATAAGGTGGCCAGGCGTCAGTCAAATTCCAGTTCAATGGAATTATCATGTCTGCCAGTGGAAACATTTCTTACTTTGGAGCTAAGACCTCTAAGCCAGCAGAACATAAGACTGAGGAACAGGAAACAAAAATTTTTCTAGTGAGTCACTAGTGGTAATAATGAGTAGCCATTTCCATCCCTTGATTCCCAGACCAATGAATCCTGGCTATGAGAGAAACAGCACTATATCTTGGACACTGATTCACACCATATGCAGTCTTCTGGAGTGTCGTGTCCCAGCCCTGTAAAGTATTGGCACCAGCTAGGTGGCACCTTAACTGTGTCTTCAAAAGGTCATGCCGAGCTGGGCATGGTAGCTCACGCCTGTAATCCCAGCACTTTGGGAGGCTGAGGCGACAGGATTGCCTGAGCCCAGGGGTTCAAGAGCAGCCTGGACAACTTGGCAAGACTTCGTCTCTAAAACAAACAAACAAACAAACAAACAAACAAAACAATGCTGTGTGGAATACCATGATGGTGGATGAGATATCCTATACATTTATTTATTTATTATTTATTTATTTTTTGAGTTGGAGTCTCACTCTGTCGCCCAGACTGGAGTGCAGTGGCCGCCCCCGGCCACCGCAACCTCGACCTGCTGGGCTCCAGCGATCCTTCCGCCTCAGCCTTCCAAGTAGCTGGAATTACAGGCGTGTGCTACCACGTCCGGCTGATTTTTTGATTTATTGTAGAGATGAGGTCTCGCTGCCCAGGCGGGTCTCGAACCCACGGGCTCAGGCAATCCACTCACCTCAACCTCCCAAAGGCGCGGGATTACAGGCTGAGGCACCGAGCCCGGCTCCTATACATTTATTAATGATAGTGTTGGCAGAAGCATTGTGTGCAGGGAAGACAAATCCGATTTGTTCTTTCTCATGTTTATTTGCCATTTGGACATCCTCTTTTGTGGTGTATCTATTCAAGTTTCTTGCAAATTTTTACATTAAATTGCATGTCTTTTTTTTTTTTTTTGAGTTGGAGTCTCACTCTGTCACCCAGGCTGGAGGCCGTGGCCACTCCTGGCCACCGCAGTCTCGACCTGCTGGGCTCCGGCGATCCTTCCACCTCAGCCTTCCAAGTAGCTGGAACTATAGGCGTATGCTACCACGCCCCAGCTAATTTTTGATTTTATTGTAGAGATGAGGTCTCACCAAATTGCCCAGGTGGGTCGCGAACCCATGGGCTCAGGCAATCCACTCACCTCAGCCTCCCAAAGGCGCAGGATTACAGGCTGAGCCACCAAGCCCGGCTAAATTGCATGTCTTTTATTGAGTCATAATAGTTTATTTTATACAGTATTCTGGATTACAGTCCTTTGTCAGTATATATGTTTCAGAGTTCATCTCCCAGTCTATGGCTTACTTTTTCACTTTCTTTTCTCTTCTTTTTTTTTTTGGAGACAGGATCTCACTCTGTCAGTCAGGCTGGAATACAGGGCATGATCATGGCTTGTTACAGCCTCAACCTCCTGGACTCAAGCAATCCTTCCACCTAACCCTCCCAAGTAGCTGGGACTACAGGTGCACATCACCATGACTAGCTAATTTTTCTACTTTTTGTAGAGAAGAGGTCTCGCTATGTTGCTCAGTCTGGTCTTGAACTCCTGAATTCAATCAATCTTCCCACCTTGTTCTCCCAAAGTGTTGGGATTAAAGGTATGAGCCACTGTGCCTAGCTTTATTTTTAAATTATTTTTAAATGTTTTAAATTTTTTATTTTTTGAATCAGACTCTCACTCTGTTGCCCAGGCTGGAGTGACTAGGAGCGTGCCACTGCGCTCCAGCCTGGATGACAGAGTAAACCTCTGACTCAAAAATAAATACATAAATAAATAATAAAAATGTAATTCAGAAGGCTGAGTGCGGTGGTTCACGCCTATAATCCCAGCACTTTGGTAGACCAA